CATATTGTTATCTCTGTTTTAACAAAGATGAAAGAGGGGGATGACGATATTTTTATACAGAGATTTTAGTCTCATTCACGGCAAGAGATTCAAATTCTTTAGAGATGTAATACATAGCAATGTCTCTAATATTCTTGACCAAGTAATGCTTGTTATGAACATATTTTACGTACTTTGACGTCACCTCAAAAATCAGATATATCGGAGTATTAATTTTAATTTAATAATCTTTTTTTTTATGAATAGGCTTCATATTGTTATGTAGTACTATAACAATATGAAATATTTGTCCTGCAGAGGTCGCTGTGCGCATCCAAATTGAAAGAGCTCGGTTGGATAACTCACAATGCAGTCGTATAAGAGGATTGTCCATTTTAATTAAAGCATACGAAACAAAGAGAACGCAGATTTAATACGTCTATGCGATAATGTTTTAGATGAATATTAATCCTTACATTTATAATTGAAATATATTTATAAACATACTAGCGGTCACCCGCGACTCCGTCCGCGCGAAATGAAAAACAAACTTAATATGCCAATATGCCTATGTGTTCTTTCAGACTATGTTCTACATCTGTGCCAAATTTCAACTAAATCTGTTGAGCCTTTTCAGCGATACTAACAAACATCCGTCCATCCATCCAATCATTTGCATTTATAATATTAGTAAGAGTAAGACATAATAAAGAATTCAAAAAAGGAAATATGTGATCTAAGTCACAGTTTAAGTTATTAAGTTCCATCGATAGCATTACAAGGAAATTATAAAAACTTACTCAATCTGTCATATTGCATCTAATCGAAGACCCTTCAACATCCTTTTACTTGACCGGAGAAGATGCGATGCGATGTAATTGCTACAGATATTATGCAAGTTTCCAATGTATTAAGACACATCAGAGATCGTTGAAGATTGCATCGTGCGAGATACATTTGTTCATCGGAACTGGACTGTGAAAGTAAAGTGTCCGGATTACTATACTTTCAATTGTATGTTAGCTTCGATTGTCAAATATTTTTATAGTCATATTAACTAATTTGTGGATAAAATCTGTTTTAGTATAAATAAATGAAAATTATAACAGAGGTCTACTAACGGGCTGAAACGCTACGTAAAATGCAAAGGTCATTTGACACTGGTTCGACTAATAACTTACATAATATGCTAGCTATACAAGAAACACAAACAAACCCCATCCTCGTTGATAATATCGATGATAAATCATTTACTAGTTTCACGCAGAAATGCTAACCATAAAGGTTCTCACGGAATTATCGAATGGAAAGCGATATAAAATTTTATCGTCAATCGCATATCGATACTGGTGACTCGACAATCGCACAATGCGACGTTAAACACGGCTAATTTACTCTGAAACTATCGGAACTCTATGCTTCACGTAATCGATATTAATACGAAATCGATACGGGCATCGATTTCATTGTGTTTTTTCTCCGTCGATTTCGATTAGTATAATGACAAAAATCTTTTATCGAACTCGTGAGAATTAAATAATTGTGTAAGATAATTTCATTCATTAATATTGCCACCGTCGCCGTTCTCACGGATTTATCGTTATAAACTTATTTATTCTGTCGTTTACTTTTATTTACAATCATTGTTACAGTAAGAGAGATTTTACGAGGATATATCTCTCTTCAATATAATTGTCCTCAAAATTTATTTTAACTTACTTGCTTCTGTTTGTACTTTTATCTTACTAATATTAAAAATGCAAAAGTTTAGATGGATGAACGTTAGTTACAAGGTATCTTCGGAACGGTTTAATGGACCTTGATAAAATTTTTCACAGATACAAAACATAATCTGGAGGAACACATTGGCATTATTAAGTTTTTTATTGCGCACGTGCGGAGTGGCGGGCAGCAGCTACTTTCAAATTTTATTTAAAACAGTATTTTTCTACAATAAAATAATGTTAGAATATACGAATTCAACTAATATTATTTTCAATTCCTATTTTAAATGTTGGTTTTCACTGCGAAATTCGAATAAAAACAGAGTCCCTCTTACTTTTCATAAAAAAATGATAAAAATTACTGTTTTACTCAGGTCATTTACCAATGGAAGCTAACTCTAAATTGAGACTATACAAAGGAAGTAAAAAGAGTATTAAATGTCACAATGATAGACTGACTCAATGAATCTCAATTTGGTAATAATAACTCTTTTAAAAATTATAAGCCGTAAAATTTTCCACTTCATGGAACTATAAAATTTCGTTTCGTTCATCGCTTTCCCTATTACAAGGACAAGGCCGTCTTATTTACCCTTTTATTTTTTAATTAATCAATTTAAATATTAGTAATCGATTAATAAGATACCGTGTAATATCGTTTACGAACAAACTGCTGCTTAGAAACGTAAAAAATAGTTACATTAAAGACATTTTTAAATATAGAAGAATTAAAGTCCATAAATTCTGGTAATACCTAATCAGAGAGTCTGTGGTCAATAAACCAGGATTTCCAATCGAGTAAATCCACTACTAAAGTGGTCAAATATAATTTTCGTTATTTACTGTCCAAAAAACCAATCTTCTTATAATATTATTATTATTATTGTTTCTCATAATAATAATAAAAGAATGTCATAAAATTATAACAATTTAGTTCTAGCCTTCCCGTATTAGCATTAAAAACGATTCTAGGATTTACTAGCACCTAATATTTGATGATGAAATTCTAGTAAACATTCCTCCAGGATCTATTCCACAGTTTGCTAAGCGCTCAGAGGCGCCGCCTGTCGTCTACTACGGATATTACACATCGCCTGAGGACAGATGAAATCGTACAAACAAAGCCCGACCCAATGATCCGTTCCTATTGTTCCAAGAGAATTGAAAAATAACTATTTCTTTATCATCTGCAATATCGCAAAGCTTGAGAAATAATTCGCTTTTAAAAGAAAGGTCGTTTTAATTGTTCAATACATTTAGGGATTATCGTGATTAAATATTTCGTGTGTTGAATTATTTTTTAAAGCAGAATATATAAGCTTATAATATAAATTATTGAAGAATGTTTTTGCGACATTCTTTAGCATCTTTTTTTTTATTGCATTACACAAAATAAAACCAATTTCAAGTTATGTTGAACATGTTCCTACTGCGTACAATCAACGTACACGCATAGTCCAAGAGGTAGTAGTAAATCTTAGTATTTGAAACACAATGACGTAGGAACAACGACAACGCGACTGAGGGCACGTACTGTTGATTTATTATAAAGGGACCGCGATTGACCTACCGCAACCCGCGACTGTACGCTCTTTACTTTCTACACGGTAGCGATCGTATTGAAATGTACGTGACTTCGGCGCCATCGAGATGAACTATTGAATATATTAAAACATGATAATGCATTTTAATCTACGACTCCTATTTTATAATTTTATTTACATACATATTTTCAATTTAATTAATAAAGTTGTCATAAAAAATGTTTGTTTTATTATAAAATGATAGGAGTTTTTGAGTAATAGTTTTCTACAAAATAACACGGTTAGGTTATATTAGCGAAAAATAACTCTAAAAACATTCCAGTCTAAATGCAAAAGTGTATAAAGATAATTCATATTTACACATAAGAGGGTCTACCACGAAAAGTCGTATAAACATTTTCCTAACGAGTAAAATTTGTATTAAAATTCGTTCAGCGCCCCTACCGGGCGAAAACAACACCATCAGATCGCATACATAATTTGATATACGATGATGACGGAGGTGCGTGTTTCGACAAAGTACATTTTGGTCCTAAACGCTTGCAATAATAAAACAAAACAATAACTATCTCCCCCAATAACATAGTGAGTAACCAATTAATACATTGCGTTCGCTGTATCCAAATTAATGGATGCATAATAAATGCACAAGAGCTATGATTTATTTCAATAGCTCATTGTGGTATGCATTGCAGTGACGCAATGCAAACTATTCGTATCTCAATTGAGCTCTATAATTGTAATTAATTGTAATTTAAAGTCCATTACAAAAACTCATTTTAAATGAAAAGCTCTTGGAGCTTTCTAATCAATTGAGATTTACTAACAATTGATATATAACTATTGCATATCAAGTTTTATTTAGTTTAATTTATTTACAAATTAAATATATTTATAGATGCTAACTGAATTTAATTTATCAACTCATAAACTGTATAGTTTTAAATTAAAAAAAAACACTAAATTATTTCTGTAATTCGTTACTAAAGTAAGCTATTATGATGAAACTAGTCTCGACGAAACATACGTCCCACCTCGGACGATCGTAGACGAATCGACCGCTTGGCTTTAAAAAATAAACATCATTGCACTTCTTTTAGACATTGTCCAGCTGAAAACGAATGCTACAAATGAGAAGGTATTTTAAAAGAAAAGGAAATCGAATGCTAACACATACTATTTCTTGACATAAAACTTTTGGTATAAGTTTTGCAAGTTGCTTTATAGAGAATATTGCTCTTTAAGCAATCAGATTTTTAAGATTAGTTTCAAGCAAATGAGCTAACAATGACTAATAATAGGTAACATAGTTAGTACGGGCGTTAACTAACTCGTAGGTTTTGAAGCATTGTTACGGAAAACCCTGTGTAAAGTTAGTAATTCATTTTATGCAGTCTCAATACACTCTAGTTCACTTAGCTATCTACAACAATATGCTGCATGGGCAGAGGGGTATTGAGTTATTCTGCAAAGTGCTCTGACAGGAAGAAATTTTATCTTAGTTCCTTATCCTTTTCATTACTTGTATTACAGTTATAAGCTTTTAATATTTTTTTTTAAATTACACTACTATAAACCGCAAATAAAACTATCGTATTGTCATATCAATACCTATTTCATAGGAAGGTATAATTGACTTTAGTAACCCATTCCGACCCTGGATTTATCCAGAGTAGGATTAAGTTATCCAGGACCGTCCTAGGTTAATTAATGGTTGAAGTCTGTGTTATTATAAGCTTAATTAGGTACGTACCTGGAACAGCAGATATCCGGAGTCGTACATCCAGAAGTCATCGGGCGCGTTACCCGGCTTGCTCAGGTGTATCGCGAGGCAACGCTGCAGGATGAGCTGGCAGCGCTGCCCGCCCGCTCCGCGCCCGCTCATGCCTTCACGCAGGCGGCGGCATGCTCTGCAAATTAACACACACCTTTATAACACGTGAATTTCTTATATAATATTCATGCTTAATAATTTAAGCCAAGTGTAGATACACCTTTATTTTTTAAAATGTTTACATTTAGACATGATACGTTATTATTGTACCGAGTGTTCGCGAATGACGTCATAATTAGTTTGAATGTTTATAAAGTTCATATTGAGTGCCTTTTTTTTCAAATTTATGTATTTAGTTTCTTGGTTGCTTTAGTGTGTTTTAGGGTCGAAAACCTTTGAAAATATCTTATATGCACATCAGCAACCTTTTAGGTATTTAAATTAACACAATAACAATCGAATTGCCTAAACTATGTCGTAATGTTTCCGCACTAAAGAGTTCATTGCAATAACCCGTAACTAACTGCAAACCATCATAGACAATGGTATGAATAATTTTAAGAAGTAGACACAATCGCTGGACCCTTGACATGACAGCAGTGGAGCGAGGTGACGTCAAACGCACAGAGTAAAACGACGTCCTTTCACGCATTACATTATGTTAATAATCGATATTTATCGGCAATATCGAGTTAATATAGTAGATGTTTTGTATCTGTAGTCTTTATGATATGTAGAATTTTAAATATAAATAAAAGCCTTGTACCATTATTATAATAATTTCTATAATAATGTGTTTTAATAATTTTTAATTTAAAACAAGATGGTTACCCTCATTGCGAACGAATGTTGAGCCGATAGGCGCAACGGAAATTTTTCCTAATTGGACTGATCAAAAATTAAATCAAAATCAAGCAAAAATAACTGTAATAAAGTCACAAAGTGTAAAACTTTCTTTCTAATAAGGTAAACCTCATTATCAAAGCAACAAACATGTTGTGTTGTCACAGCCAGACCTAATAAGACTCGACAACTTAAACATGATTTATCTAAAATAAGATATCATAGCAAAAAAAATCATAGCTTCTAAAACACACATCATCATCATTATAATCAGCCTAAATTATAATATCCACTGCTGGACGTAGGCCTCCGCCATCGATTACCACAATGCCCAGTCCTGTGCCGCCCGCATCTAGAGCACCTTGACCAGGTCATCGGTCCATCGTGCGGGAGGCCTACCTACGCTGCGTCGACCTGTCCGCTACCGCAATTCTAGGACTTTTCGGCCCTATCGGTCGTCCGTTCTCTAAAATACACATGATCATCATCATCAGCTCACAATACGTCAACCACGCTGGCCAAGTGCGGGTTCGTTGACTTCACACATATCTTTGAATTTCTTCTTAGATATGTGCTGGTTGCATCACGATGTTTTCCTTCACCGTAAGAAGAAAAATACACATACATAAATCAAAATATCCGTCAAGGAAGTAGAATAATTGTATAAAGCTACATAATGTACGAACAGCTTTTAGCGAGTTGATTTCCATAATCGGTAACTGCACTTCATATCTCGTTTATAAAGCGCATTGCTCTTATTACGAAGGCCATTAAGCGTTTGTTAATTTTAACTAAGGAAATACAAGGTTTCGTTGTAGACATGTCTTCGTGAGCTTACAATAGACTAGGGTTATGTAACTTCTGTGTTACTATTATACGTAAGGAAATGATAACACATCACGCGCTATAAACTTGAATAGTAACTTCATTAACATCTTACTATTTTACTAATATTATATTATAAATGCGATAATTTGGCTGAATGGATGGATGGACGGATGCATAGATGGATGGATGGAAGTTTCCTTTTCTAATAGGAAATGATAGGGTATGAAGTAGGTAAATCAAAGAAGAGGACGCATGAAATGAAAATTCTTTCTGTGCGTCCCCTCCTCTGTTGATTAAGGTAGGAGGCAACCCATCCGCAAATGCAGATGTCGGCAAAGGTCGCGTCGCTATTTCGGTAAATTCACGTGATCGCTTGCTCGTTTTTCACCTTGTAGTATAAATAATAGAAAAAAAATGGAAAGTTTTACAATTGTATTGTGGTAAATGTGATTTTCAATATTGACAACATAATAAATAAATAAAATTAGTTTTTGGCTAATTTAATATTTTAAGTTTAAGAGCAGTGGAAATCCATAGTAAAAGATATCTCAATAATGAAGCGCCTTTTAAAAAGATAATATAAACTGATATAAACGCAACAATAATCATCAGATCTTCAACTTAACCATTCGTTTAACTTAACTGCTTTAATACATCATTTAACAGATCATCAACTTTATTAATATAGTAGTTAATTACTATTTTACTCCTTAACAGTACGCGTTCGTTATTTTTATACTCAATGTTTATATAAACGAATAATTCTATATAAGACCGAACGGTCAGCTTTGGTGAAAAGATGCATTCCTTATTTGGTCGATGGAACATATCATGTTAAACGGTATTGAACTTTAAAGCACTTGGCAAAGAGTCCATTATATATTAATGTAATGAGACGTGCGAACAATGCAAGGCTAGAATTTCTTTAATGCGGAATTGTAATTAATTGTAGTAATATTTATGGATATATTTATTTTTAACTTGGATAAGTATGCTGGTCTTCTACATTGGAAGATTATAGATTGGGATTATTTATTTGCACACAAAGTCAACTTAATTTAAGCGAGTGTATTTTAGTGTTCCCTCATCACAATTTTGTGATCAAAGTTAAGATTGGTTTTTCGTATTGGTCGTTTTCCGACTTAAAAGAATGCATCGCAACCTGTCTAGTATTTTAGTATGTTTATTAATTTCTTATTAAATTGTCGAATTAATAAAGTGCGTATTTATTTATACAAATAGGTTTCGACACTAAAATAGCGGATGCATGGTCGTCAAGCTAAAAGTGGCATAACAAAACGTTTTCTTTAGTCGCGAGTCCGCCCAGATCGCGTGTGCATTTTGGCCATAAGTAAAATTGCGGCAGCGCGCCATTTTAAGAATTAAGGTCGTACCACACTAGCGCTCGTCTATTGTCGGCCATTATAACGGCATCATCCAATTCTGGTGTTGCACAACATCGTAGTGTTGCTACGTAACGCTTACGTCACACCGGAGTGCCATCTCCTTTTTGTTTTATGTGAAATAAATTGTTGTGAACCTTTTTTTTATCACAAACAATCTCACATCTTAATGTATTTTTTAGTATAAAGATATTTATTTTTATCAAACAACTTTTCACATTTGTAATAGTCGTAGTGTGGACATCCTATAAAACAAATGATAATTTTCAGAAAATAGTATTTCATTCAAACTCATTATCATCCACTAGACATATTGTCCACTAGAAGTGGCATGTAGACACAGACACAATACGTGATACGATCAAAAAGAGAGGTAGTGACCCTCAGTTATTAGAAAACAATGGAAACAGTGAGAGATAAACAAGAAGTGGTTTGTCTACTCTACAATTTAATTAATTTTAATGTTTACTTTTGCCTGTTATAGTCGGTACACTCGGTATTCAAGAGACATCCCGGAAACTGCACCGTGCGATGCATACCCTCGCCTGGGATTAGCCGGATTTGACCTGCTATTATCTACATTTGGTCACTCACCAATAAAGCATAACGGTATTTAAAAACGGTGTTTACATTGCACTGACGATTATATTCTTAGTTCTATGGTTTTTCTTTTTGTAATTACTTTTGTAAAGATATATTGTAGAAGACTACTGTACCGGCTCTTAAAATTGAATAATAATAAAGAATTTTTATTGCATATTAAAGGATTACAATATCAATATCGCCTTGGCTCTTTAACTAGGTAAACTTGTGTTTAAAGAGTCAATGACTTCCCTTTCTAGTGAATCTTACTGTGAAATTAATGTCTTATGTAAAATAGATGCTTATAACAAGTGTTAAAATTAAAGTTGTAGACAAAATTTAGTCATCCTTTTAATGAACAATAGTGTTAACAAAAGAAATATGAAAAACACCATAGTAAACAACATAGTATGTATTCGCCACCGGACGAATATACGTGAGTGTTTAGCCGTTTTATATCAGTTTACCATAGTAAAGTTATAAAATGTAATCAGTGAAATTTTAATCCACAATAGAGATAAAACTATACCATGTTATCATTTAATATTACTATTTACATGTTAATAGATTAAAAGAAACTAGAGTACCGTGGTATCATTAAGACCGTGCGAAATAAAAATTGACTACAAACTGTTAGGAAGAAAATCGGACACTGTGTCGGTGTAGTGACACAACACTAGCCTTACAAAAATGTCGACGTTTATGTCTCCTCACTAATCATTCAGACACTGGACTTTGCAACGTAAGCACGTCATTCGAGCCAAATGATTCTAATTAATAATGTCTAAAAAAACATAGACTATGTTACGAAGATTCCATTCCACATGAATCAAAGGCTGAATGATTAAACTTTAACTTGAAAGACATCGAAACTTTAGATTTCTTTTCGTGCTGTAATCCAAGACACGCTTATATCAAAATTGGATTCGCTTCGGTTACGATTCGTTTTTGTCGCAATGAACTACAGACCAACCTAACCTATAACCTATCACTACTTAATAAAACTGAAATAAAGATAAGCAAGTTATTTAAACGTATAAAACCCCACTGCTATAAACTGAATTCCCTCACAATTTAGTATTCACAATGAATTTTATACGCTTTTCTAACCCCTATATAATGTAATTCCGCGCCATTCTCCTATAAAGTCCGGCTTTTATTAAATTCTTTAATGCTCACCCTCTTCTAATTTTGATCCTGTGACTGCGATTGTCCTTTGCTTTAACAGTTGTGACTTCAGTTTTAAATAAGAGTTTACGTTCCTCAGATTCTTCCAGATAATAAAATATTTTATTTAAAGTCCAATGCAAAATTCATTTATTTCGTTTAAGGTTTAATTATTTTTAGGTTTTTTGGTGTAATGCGAGTCAGATAAATACTATCTTGGTTTACCTGTCTACGGACAAGACCTATAGATGATATTCAAATTGACTGACATATGTTTAAGAAATAAACTAGAATAAGATGTTTTATGAAGTAG